TCCCAGCTACTCAGGAGGCTGAGGCAGGAGAATTGCCTGAACCCAGGAGGCGGAGGTTGCGGTGAGCCGAGATCATGCCATTGCACTCCAGCCTGGGTAACAAGAGCAAAACTCCGTCAAAAAAAAAAAAGAGAAAAGAAAAGACATTACAGGTGAAAGGGTCTTGGGCTTACAACTCCAGAATTTACATGTGAAAGGGCCTTGGGCCCGTGGGGTAGGCATGGGGTATAGTGACTTAGGCTGGGTTTGGTCTTGTTTAAGTAAAAACAATAACTTCCTTCCGGAAAGATTCCTCCACACCGTGCCTGCACTATCTATAGGAGAGTGATTAAGGTGGAGCCCGGCCTGCCAGCCTTTACTTCTCCCATTGAAATGCAGTGTGGAAGTCAAGGAGGGCGGATGGTCTTAGATGCTTAAGTGTGATTCAGGGTCTCCTCCCTTACTGGCAGTTTCTATGAACTCTTTTCCAGGTAAACATCACATGTAAAAGTAAGTGCATGTCATTCTAGGATAATTAGATGATAAGAACTAAATTTACAATCAATACCGCAGAATTGTAGAAATTATGCAACACAGTGCTTAATAGAATTAAGTGGGAATCTGTATTTTTTTCTCAATAAGGCTTTATTGAATAAATGGAGTCATATTCTATGTGTTTTTCTGTGCCTTTGCAATTTCTCAAATTAAAGACAAATGGTCTCCTCTTGGCCTTTTGCCTAAGATCAAGTGGAAGATAAGCAAATGGTAGTTGAGTGAAAGAAACCAGAAAAAAGTTATTGTTGGGGTGTGTGGGGTGTGCCTTGCCTCCGTGGACCCACCTCGTTTCTCCCAAGAGGTAGCTACACTAACTGGGATACGTCTCCAGCCTGCCCTTTCTGCTTTAATCCACAGTGGGTCCTGCTCTCTTCATTGCCTGCATGTCAGCTAAGTTTGAGATCACCCCTGTTTACTGTTCTAAAATGAAGCCCCCTCTTTTTTGCAGAATCTTTCTGAACCATGCATCCAAATGTCACATTTCCAAACGTGTTGTGAGCTGAGAAGTCCAAGTCAGAAACTTCAAAGCTAGCACTTGTAATGGGAATTCTGACTGACAGTCCCTTAATTACAGTCTTTAAATATGCACAGTCCCTGACTGAGCAAGGCTTTCTGAGGAAAATTCCTGCCTCACTGGTTGAAAATGTGAACAGTGGGGTATAATTCCCTGAGCTGCAAGGAGCCACAGATCAGAGAGAATGCAGGAGGAACTCTAAAGATCCTTCTAGGATGAATTTTGTCCTTTGCAGATGGTATCAAATCCGAAAGCGGGGACGGCGGGGGCAAGGAGAAACAAATATTGTTTGGTCTCAAAGCTGATACACACGGTTTATTTGGCGGTGTTTGGATAAGTTAGAAAGCAAAGATAGCAGAGGAAGAATAGGTGTATCCTGGAGGAAGAACACGCACGCTGGTGAGTGGGAAGGGACTAAGAACAGGGTGGCTGGGTCGGGCACAGTGGTTCACGCCTATAATCTCAGCATTTTGGGAGGCCGAGGAGGAAGGATCGCTTGAGGTCAAGAGTTGGAGGCCAGCCTGGTCAACATGGTAAAACCCCATCTCTACTAAAAATACAAAAATTAGCTGAGCATGGTAGCTTGTGCCTATAATCCCAGCTATTACTCAGGAGGCTGAGGCAGGAGAATCGCTTGAACCTGGTAGGTTGAAGGTTGCAGTGAGCTGACATCACTGCACCCAGCCTGGGCGACAGAGCAAGGCTTCATCTCAAAAAGAATAACAGAGTGGCCCCAAACAAGGTAATTTCACTGATCATGGATTCCACTGATCTGACACTGACAGGGACCAGGGGAACACGGTGGCCCCTGCACGCCCTGGGCCACATCACAGCAACTCCTTCTTACTGTCCCCAGCCGCAGGATGTGCTGTGTCTCAGGCAGTGGCAGCATGCAGGTGACTTCTCCGTCAGAGCCCCAGAAGGCAGCGCAGTGTCGCGTTTGACAGTCCTACGCCACGTTGAGAGCAGAGACATTGTTTCACCCCCACGATGTGCTCAGCCAACAAGAACGTCAAGCTGGCATGGCCGCTACCACAGCCCCAACTTAATGAGAGACAGTAACATCGATATGTAGTTTGATGACCAGTTAGCAGGAAATTTAGGGCAAAACCACAGAAAGGACCAGACCAGCGCGGATTTAAGTCCTGATGCTGCCACTGAACAGCTATGTGGCTTTGCCCGTGGGCCAGAGTTACCAGGTCAAACACAAGCACCCAGCTAAATCTGAATTTCAGATACACAACAAATAATTTTGCACATATAGCGCATACTCATACTAAAAACTTATCCATTGTTCATCTAAAATCCAAAGTTAAGTGAGTCCTCTGATTTGAATTTGCTAAATCTGGCCAATGACTTTCTCTTGCTGAACCTCCTTTTCCTACCATATCCAAGCAGGCAGCAGTGCGTGTCTCAAGGGGGTTTGAGACCAGCTGAGATGCCACTGACCCAGCACAGGGTTCTTACGCTGGTGACCCTCATGGGCTCTGAGTGTGATTAACAGCTCTCAATGCCTCTTCTCCTTCCTCGGGATCTTTGTCTGCCTTTTAGCTCTTTCCAAATGTTAAAATTTCCATAAAGGCGATGTATGTGTCCCCATGGCAGAACGTTTCTTTTCTCACCATAGAAATCAATTTATTGTATATTTCAAAATAACTGAAAGAATAAAATTGGAGTGTCCCTAACAGAAAGAAGTGATCGATGCTTGAGGCGATGGATACCCCAGGTGTTCCTATCTGATCACGACACATCGTATGCTTGTATTGAAATATCACCTGTACCCCCATAAACAGGTGCAGCTATTATGTATCCATAATTCAATATAGAAGTGAATAAAAAGGAAATTATAAGAAACTCAGGGTCCGAGGCAGGAAAGGAAGGCAGGACTTGAAGGGGACCTTGATGTCTCCTCAATCCAAGACTTATCTGAGGATACTGCTCTTCCCCACCCCATGGTTCTGTTTTTGGCTGTCAAACACATTCTGGGTAGGGCCGTGTTGGCTCACACCTGTAATCCCAGCACTTTGGGAGGCCAAAGCAAATGGATTACCTGAGGTTAGGAGTTTGAGATCAGACTGACCAACACGGTGAAACCCCATCTCTGCTAAAAACACAAAAATTAGCCAGACGTGGTGGCACATGCCTGTAGTCCCAGCTACTCGGGAGGCTAAGGCAGGGGAATCACTTGAACCCAGGGGATGGAGGTTGCAGTGAGCTGAGACAGTGCCACTGCACTCCAGTCTGGGCAACAGAGCGGGACTCCATCTCCAAATAAATAAATTAAATTAAATTAAAAAACAGCATTCTGTATCTCTCTTTCAGAGCCAGATGTGGCTGGTGTGTCTCTAATCAAACCCCCCTGCCTTTCAAAGAGCCAGGAGGGAAATATTGTTAACCTGAGATCCACTAGGAAGTGGAAATAATGCACTCAGCTTCTCCCATCCACTCGCCTCGCCCACTTTGACCAGGGAGTCCCACTAACCACTGTCAGCAAACACGCGCTTCACAACAGCTGCGGCCATGTTTTACGCCATTCTGCCACATCCAACATAACGTCTAACTGCATATGTGCATCAATAATCTTTTATGACATCATAATGCATTTTAGTGTGTGGATGGTTATTATCTTTTAGAGGCCACCATTTAGATTTATGGAGCAAAAGAGGAAAGTTTTTAAAAAATGTAATCTAATTAATCTGAGTGCACTTGGATGCCTATTAACATTCACCTGTCTGGGATTTTCCATTTATCATGATTACGACGGAACAGCCATTCTAAGAAAGAGGCTGCCTCTTCATTTAATACCAAATGATGATTTATTATCCTGAACGCTTTTAGGAATGGTTTAGACTTAATGGATAGGTCTGTGTGACGAATTCTCTATGCACGCTGTACAATTATACATGTTGTCCCTTCATGTAGAACACACCCCCAAGATGGGAGGGACCATGGCTCACGGAGCGCGGACACGATGGTCCCATAGAGCCAGCAGCAGGGGAAGGGAGACTGTCCTTTAGGTAGCTAGCAGGTGGGCAACCTCTCTCTGATTGCAGAGGTCAAGGCGACGGGCCCCCAGACAGTGCCTGTCCCTTCATGAAGCTTGGTGTCGCCCGGCACTGGGCTGGAGAGTTGCGTCCTTGGACCTGTCAATTCCCCACGATTGGTACTCCCTGCTCCAGCACTGAGACAGGAGAATAGGACCTGGAGACAGCAAGCCTAAAGCCAACCTGATGCTGCCTTCTCGGAATTGAACAAAAAGAAACACCCCACCTCTCCATGCCCAAGTGACAACTGATCAGAGACCCCACCCTCTACAAAACCCCCTTTCCCCTACATCACAAACAGGAAATACCTCTGATTGGTCACAGGCCATCCTTAATTTGCATAGAGTGTAACCAACTGGAGGCCTCTAAAGGGTATCTAGGGGTGTTACCAAATTCTTTTAGCTTCGTAAAAACCCTAAAGAACATTGCAATCAGGGCTTTTGAGTCGCTTGCTCCAGCCCGCTCCCACTCTGCAGAGGGTACTTTTG